TAGCACTGCCATTAGATTAAGTGTAAGGGTATAAGGTTAAGATTTGTTGCTGGGCTAATTTGTTGGTGGCCTTTTGAAGTGTGTTTTCATATACGAAATCCAGAGGACTAGTTCTACCCTAGCTTTTATTTCAGTCCCCACAAAACTTTATGGACTTACTATGTGCAAGACACTGTCTCAAATGCCCTATGGGATATAAAACCCAGCAAGACTTGGTAAATAGAGGGAACATGTAGAAAAGCATAATGAGATAGATACTGCCTAAGTGCGGTGAAGTTTAAAGGAGAGAGGTCATGTATGCATAAAAATGACTTTATGGAAGTGTCATTGGGCCTACAAGTAGAATGGCCTTGTGATGAATGTGTGAGAAGACGTGGTCGGGCACAGATGACTATTTGTAGGGCTAACCATTCTAGTTTGGCTGGAAAGGAAGGTGGAGCTGTTGAATGCCAAGTTGAATACTAGTTTGTACTTATTTGCTGGTGGATACCCATTTGAATTATTAGAGTGAAACGATTAAGCCCATGTTTAGAAGAGCCTGTGAAAAAGTTCAATTTTAAATACTTGTAGGAAGGGTTGAAACAGTATTAGAGTTATTCATGAAGAAATAGAAAATTGTGAAATAATATGAATGATGTTGTAGTCACAATATGTAAGTTGGCAGTAGCTTTATGGCTAGAGAGATAGGAAAGAATCACAGTTGATTTTGATGTTTTGAACTTGGACACGAAGAAGAATTTTGGTTCCATTGCACGGTGTGGAGGACTAAAAGGAATAGGATCACATGAACACATCTGTATGTGTGTATTTGCACAGGAAGTTGGTGTTTTTTAACTGTAGATTTTTTTTTTCTCAGCAGGTACTTGTTTGTTAAGCCTGGAGCTTAGAAAAGAAATTAAAGTTAGAGAAAAAAATTTGACAATTATCCTTACAGAAGTTATAGTTTGAATGAACTGAAGAGGTACTGATACTTCTTTAAGTAAAAATAAATAGAACAGTAAAAATTCAAGAAAAAGCCCATAGACATTACCTTATTTTAGGATGACCTATGGATAAATACATAATCTGTTCACCTTTTCTTAAAAATGAGAAACTACAGAGGGAGAAAGCTATGTTTTAAGTCAGCGCCCAACATACAGAAGTACTTCCAGAAGTCCTTGTTTGGTGAGTATGAATTATGAACAGTACCTTGGTAGGGATGTAGGGTGGTTATGGGAGATTAATGGGCTTTTACAGAGACAGAATCTTGGATTGGATAATGCACATTCCCTCCTGGCAGTGGGTTTATCACTGAGACCAGCTGAGAGGATAAATCAGAATATTTTTGAACTTTAAAATGTCCTTTGAGGGGAAGGGAGAGGAGAAGGGAAAAGGAAAGAAGGGAAGAATAAATATAAGAAAAGGAAAAGACAGAAACAAAGTCTTCATAAATAGGGAGGGTTGGAAGGGTTGAAGGGAGGGCGGGGGAATGGGGAAAAAATAAGAACCAAGATAGCATGTAAAGGAACCAGTTCCCAATGAAGAATATCATCATATTGCATACCTAAAATGTACCAGTAAAATTAATGAAAAAAAAATCCTTTGGGGTGTCTTTTTGAGACATGGTCTGGCTCAATGATGGTGAACCTTTCAGAACTTTCAATTATGCAAACAGCCTGCTACAGCAGGCAGATTTTTGCTACTTGTTTCTCTGTAAGAACTCTGTGCCCTTGAGGGAGGGATGACACTAGAAGGAAGGGCATAGTGGAGAGATAAAGGGAAATGTGGAACTTTGATTTAGTTTCCTTTTCAGGGAAAGGAAGTGTATTGATAGCAGCACTACTTTGTTTTCTACTGTAATAGAAAGTTTCCATTTCGGATTTTTAAGGTAGTTGTAAGTTATTGTATAAGTTGAATGAAGTATGTGTTTCTATTCATACCAGGTTTTCTCACTGCATAGATTTTATTATTTCTGATTAGTGGAGGCAAACTAAAAAGTACAAATTTCCTTCTATAGCCCCTCATATGGTCTCCAGCAGTAGCAGTACACATTTATTAAAAAAATATTAATGTGATCCCAAATTTAAAAGTAGAGAACTGGACTTGGCACGTTCCTGTAATCTCAGCCACTTGAGAGGCTGAGGCAGGAAGAGCTCAAGTTAAAGCCTATATGGGCAATTCAGTAAGACCCTATCTCAGAATAAAAAGGGCTGAGGATGTAGTTTAGTGCTCCCTGGATTTTATCCCCAGTGTCGGGAGGAGGTAGAATGATTCCTGCAGTTTATCAGTGTAAATTGTTTCTTTTATTGTTGACTCATAAAATAGTTTATCTCAAATGTTGATACTTTAGATAAGTTGATATATGTTTCCGAGACTGGTATCAGAAGACTTCTTATCTTCCAGTAAGATTTCTCAATTAAAAACTTGCAAAGCTATCTGAGTGGAAATACATTTACTTTTTGAACTTTGTTTCATCTTTCTTGAGACAGAAAAGGAGAGAGAGTTTACTTTTAAAATTGGAGAACAAGTGTTCTATGTTAAGCAAACGTAAGGCAGATTGCCCTCCTCCAAAGAGCCTGTGAGTATGGGGAAATGAGCTTTTGCTTCTGGCATTGCTAGGACAAACGCAATACTTTCTACTTTAAGATCCTTTGACAGCTTCAGCCCAGCCAATGTACATAATCTGTGATGTGCAAGGTGGAGTTTTAAGAAGAGATTTCCTCCTGAAATCAGTGCCTTAGTATAAAAAAAGATTGGTTTCTTGTTCTCTTCCCCAAAGAGATGCCAAGAAATAAGAGGAGGAAACAAAGGTAAGGGGGGACTTCAGTGACTCAAGCATTGATTACCTTTGTGCAGCGCTCATAACATTTGCGTTTCATGGGCTGGGGGGGTCACTGACTCAGTCACTGTTTTCTAAGTATTTCTCTCCCTGGACAGTGGCGCAATAATGGCATTTACTATCCATTTGATAGCATTCACCACTTTGTACATATCAGCTAATTTAATAATGCAGGTTGAGCATCCCTTCTCAAGTATTTAAAGTGTACCTGTTAGATTTGGAGTTTTTCAGAATTTACATAGATTGAGCATTCTTAATCCAAAATTTGAAATCCAAAATGTGAAATTTATTAAGAGTTATGTCAGTACTCAAAAAGTTCAGATTTCATAGCATTTTGAATTTGTGATTTTCAGATTCAAGATGTTTAGTTGTGATATCAAGCCAGTCCCTGTGAGCTAGGCGGTATTGTCATGCACTTCTGCTGTGGATGAAGGGATTAGAACCCAGAGAGGAAGTGCTTTGCATAGCTAAGTGACAGATGTGGGGTTCAAAGACAAGAGCTCCAGGGTTTTTACACTTAACTATTCTACTGTATAGCATATGTACTGTTTTTCATTTTGTATTTTTCTTTAAGGAAGATTAGGACAAGTGTTTTAATTTATGCTGAGGTTAAAAGGTTATTTCCCCTATTTTACAAATGGTGATAATGATCTGTAAAAGGTAGATTTGGCCAAAGCTGTGGAGAAATCCTCTGATAACCATTTCTAGTAAATTATAGTCTTTTTTTTTTTTTTTGGTACTGGAGCTCAAACTCAGGTCCTTGCGCTTACAAGGCAGGTGGAGGAACCACTGAGCCAAATCCCCTGCCCAGTTTTAGTCTTGTATCAGTCATTTTACTCTCCTATGAACAAGCTTGGGGGGTTTCAGTGTAACTATCCTTTTTGAATTACCTAAATTGTTTTCTTATCTTTTTCAGACGTATTTAATAGTCCTTAAAGATCAGAACTCCTAATGCAGACACTGAAGAAGAGGATTTTTAAAAATTTTAAATTAGATGACTTGCCTTTTCCAACGTCATACTTCAATATTTTAACCCTCCCTCTCCCAGTCTGGTTAAGTAGTTCAGTGCTAGAGTTCAATCCCCAGGATCACAGACTGAAATAAGGGTCAAGTATAATAAGCTTTCATTGTAGAAGTTTACAAAAGTAGTCATAGTATAATAATTTTTTTCATCATTGGCTTATTGTATTTCCAGTTTTCCCCTGAGAATTTCATGTTAGACTATGAGTATATAAGGAATAGGGTTGGCTAAAGTAATAAAATGTAAGGACGTCTCATAACCATGACTTCTTATTTGTTTACCATGCCCATCTATCAAGTTCAGTCTGTTTGTAAGTATGCATGTCTGTCGCAGTCCGCAAGGCTCTTTGGGCACGGATGTGCTCGAGTCACAGCTAGTCACTTCAGCGTATTATCTGATAGCTTCGAGGGACAGAGGTGCTGTTTATTTGCTGCATTTCTGTTAAATACACTTGGGAAGCTGAGTTCAGCTGTATGATTATAGAAAAAATCTGAGAATGAAAGGGAATACTCAGCTTCACGTTGGAGTGGAAATGAGAATATCAGCCTTTTAGTACCATTCAGTTTTCCTGTCACAGACCACAAACACTGAAATGGAATAAAATGCTTTGCTTTCTCATAAATTCCATGTGCCAGGCTGTGGTAAATGTTTATGGCAAAATAGTTATGATAAGATATATAGCATGTTTATATATTTATCATTCCTTTCCATCTTATTGTTCTAAGTAAGAATTTGATTGCAGTAAATGTATTTTGGTTTTATGTGGTTTTTTTGGTACTGGGGATTGAACTCGGGTCCTTGTGCTTGCAAGGCAGGCCATTGAGCTGCTGAGCTAAATCCCTGGCCAGTAAATGTATTTTGAACAGATAATCCTGGAGGTACAAAAGTGCAGAATTAAAGGATGTTCATATATGAGGTGTTGAGCCTGAGTTTACAGAAAACATTAAACCCTGAGAAAAATTAAACCCTGAGTGAATATTTTTAGATTGAGAAGAGTTAAAAACAACTGAGTAAAAATAACTAGTAATAACTGATTCAGAGTAAAATGTAAATGTTTGAATTATTTGTAGGTATTGAAAACTTCTTGAAGTATGTTTTTCAGTGAACATAGTAATTTTATGGTTGCTATTTTTATTCTCATCTTGTGTCTTTTTCCCCTAGGTGGTATCATGGAAAACTTGATAGAACGATAGCAGAAGAACGTCTTCGACAGGCAGGAAAGTCTGGCAGCTACCTTATAAGAGAGAGTGACCGGAGGCCAGGGTCCTTTGTACTTTCATTTCTTAGCCAGACAAATGTTGTCAACCATTTTAGGTAAGTCTGTATTCCCTGTAGGAGGTTACACAGTACAGCTGCTTTGATGCAGTATTCATAAACATACCTGCTCTCACAAAGGCAAATGACTCAGTGACATTTTAAATAGCAGAAAAAAAAGTCTTGATTTCTATTAGATGATTTAATCAGCGATTTAGGGTACATACTATTGAAATGCTTACCTTTTTTTGGCTAAAAACATTATTGGTTATTACTGTGCTAAATCCCAAATATATTTATCACTTTAAAAATATAAAGAGCTAAAAATCTTTGAAAAAAGTTTAAAGCTAATACAAAAGATATTCACTTTTAGACTATGGAGTAGTAGAAATAGAGGAAATACTTTAAAATTGAAGATTTGTGCCCATTAGTTCATTTTAGCATTGCTGTTTTGAAAGTTTTTGCAGACATTCATCTCAGTGAAAGAGATATGCCAATTTTGAGGTATGGGCATCAGAACCTGTGTTTGTGTGTGTGTGTGTGTGTGTGTGTGTGTGTGTGTGTGTGTGTGTTTATAAAATTTTGTATGTTATTTTATTTTTCTGGCAGAAATTGAAGAAATCTTATTTAGAAAAATGTATATCTTTGATTTTTAGATTTTAAAATAAGCTTTAAGAATATTAAACTTCTCACATGCACATTTGTATAAAGTATAATTTCACGTACAATTTAATATTATAATTTTGCATTTGATAATGTAACTAAAATTTCTAATTTAGTCTTTAAGGGTGGAGGGTGAGTTAAAGTATTGAAAGGTGAATTTTTAAATATTTGAATTATAAAATTAAGGCCTGAAAGTTTGATATGTATTTCATGTCAAATGCATAGATATAGATATAGATATAGATAGAATAACCTGAAGTAATTTGTCCAGAACTAGGTGATATTTTTTTTTAATGCATAGAGGTATGTATAAAAGGGAAAGTATATGAAATGTACATAAGTATAATTCCCTTATGAAACTTGGTTTTTAAAATTAACTCTAAAGGCTGGGGAGGGAAATCAGTGGAAGAGCACTTGTCTGCCATGCACAAGGATCTGGATTCAGTCCCCAGTACTACAAGAAAAAGAAATGAGGTGTAAAGATTTTTATCATGCTGCATTTTCTTCCTTTCCAAATAGGATTATTGCTATGTGTGGAGATTACTACATTGGTGGAAGACGTTTTTCTTCACTGTCAGACCTAATAGGTTATTACAGTCATGTTTCTTGTTTGCTTAAAGGAGAAAAATTACTTTATCCAGTTGCACCACCAGAGGCAAGTAAAATTTGAAAGAACTATCTCAAAACTTTATTTTGCTTCAGTAATGAATTTTGATCCTTGTTCAGTTTCTTATATTTATTATAATTCAGTAAATATTTCTTGTATTAAATTTTAGTTGTTTCTAATGTCAGAACAGAATTGACAACCTCTTTAAAAAAGGGTTTTTCTGTGATATTGTATGTAACTAGATATTTTAAATCATTCTTTATGTTTATAGCCTAACAAATATTTTTGAATGTGTGAGGAATAATTACTGATTTCATGATGTTACTGCAGAAGTTGAAAGGTCTTCACATTATCATAGAAAGTTTAATTTATATATTCTGTGTAGTTGATTTAATATTAAATGATTACTATAGTTACCTGTTAAAAAGATACTGGTTATACTTTTGAAATAATTTATAAAAACAAACAAGAGACATCAAGGATTTCTAGGCTCTGGGCACCAAGAGTAGCAGAAAACATATATTTGAACGATCATATGGCATTTATAATGTCAGTTTTTTTGGCTTTACTTTGGACATACCTTTCTTGACTTTGAGACAAAGATGATCCTTTAAAAATCTTTTTCTATTGTGTCTAGCCAGTAGAAGATAGAAGACGTGTACGAGCTATTCTACCTTATACAAAAGTACCAGACACTGATGAAATAAGGTATTTTATAATATTTGTCCTGTGTAGGCATTTGAAAGACCTAGATATTGAAGATTTATTGTTCTTGGACTAGGAACATTTTGGAATTTGGGGAAATGGTGTATACAAGGTAAACATGCTTTTAATATTGGACCTGTCATCCAATATTAAACTGAGTACTCCTCAGTGTTAAGAATGTTACAGACTCTCTGAATCTTGAGGCACATGTCTGTGATCCTTTTGCTTGGGAGACTGAGGACTGCCTAGGCTACATAGTGAAACCTCCCACAAAGAAGATGAAAAAGCATGTTATGGAACTATGGAACATGATAGCTTTTTGGTTTCATTATTTGTATATACTTCAGTCCTTTATGTAATTTGATAAGCAGTATTGCCTTTGAGCTATTTGACTTTTCAACAGAAACTCTTTATCTCAAAATGTTAAGGCTATTTCTGAATAATTACTGATTCTGAGTGTATAGTTTCTCTTTGAATTCAACAGTAACAGTGAAAAGGTAATAAAAAGTTGTACTAAAAATAGAGAAACAAAGATTCTAGAATCTTGAATCACAGAATAGTAATTCCATTTTTATGTGATTGTCTTCAAAATCATGGCTTCTCATTTAATTTTTATTGACATAAACCTTCGTTTATGTTCTTTCCTGGAAATGTGAGAGAGAGTGGGGAGGAGGGAAAGAAAATCATTTATGAAGATGAATGGTATGGGTCACAGATTGAGAAGTTTTAGATAATTTGTGAATTCCCAGTGGGGTTGTCTAAGGTAGCATTTCTCAATGCTACATTTGGAGGATCTATTAGTTGAGGTTCTCTAGAGAAGAAGATACATTTACCACTGAGGAGGTTGAGAAATTCTGTGCTGTGCTGTTTGCTAGCTGGTAACCTAGGAAAGCCAGGTGGTGTGATTTCATTCGTCCAGGTCCAAAGGCCTGAAAACCTGTGAAGACTGGAAATCCAATCTGAGGGCAACAAAGAAAGATGACACAAACTGTACCAAATCAACCAATGGGACAGAAATAAAGGGAGAAGGCTTCTCCCACCTTGTGTTCTATTCAGAAACTCAGGGGATTGGTTGGATGATCTCGCCCAGATTGAGGAAGGAAGATTGGATACTTTCAGGCAGTCCACTGAGCACAGGCTCTTTTCTGCAGCAACACCCTCACAGACAATTCAGAGATAATGCTTCATTTAGAACTGTGTGGCCCAGTCAGTTTGACATGTAAATTAACCATCACACTCCGTGGGGTCCGAATTACTGTCATGATTATACTGAGACATCATTTGCCTTTTTCATTGTGACCTGCATCGTGGTAGTGTGAAAGCAAGCCTTCCACAGTAAATGTGCTGGTGCCTTAGAAATCGTGGCAGTGCGCTATAGTAAGCGTACACTCTTCATTGTGACTCACAGTTAAGAAGTTTCACTTCATGAGCTTCATGAGGCACTAAAAATATTCATTTCACTGAATGTCAACCTTTGACTACATCTTTCTAATACTATTTGTAATGAAAGGGAGATATGTATAAAACACTTCTGCTTTGTAGCAGAATTCATTGTCTTGAGAAAAAGCAGTGAGTTGAGAGCTAAACTTGCTGTTGCTTTTATGCACACCATGTTTATGTGACAGCAGGATGGATAAGCAAACTTATTATTTGGACTCCAGTATTTAGATGTTCTTTTTGAAAAGTAACAAAGTGGAACTGTTATTTCCATGAAAATAATCACCATATTTGTTGCCAGTGACAAACATTGATTTTTTGAGCAAGAAAAAAACTAGAATTTTAGGAACTCTGTATTTTTGGTCATAGAGAGCTTGAGTGTCACAAATAATTCACCTTTCTGATGTGGTTGGTGATGATATTAAAGAATAAGATGTTTTTGGTTGTACATATTAATGTGTTAACAACTAGAAGATCTACCTAGCTCAGTGAACCAGTATTTTCTAAATGGTCAGTGCATGGTGTTACAAAATTATGTGTGGGTAGAGATTTAAGATGCAAAGTACACCAGTGGATGTTTATTAGACTACACATAGGAAGTTAGTTCCTTGATACAATTTTAGATTCCACAGTACAGCTAAACTCCAAGTAGGTACCAGCTCTGTTGACTTTTTGATGTAGCATCATAGAAGTCTGTAATTACTTGAAAAGGTTATTAAAATATTCATTCCCTTTCACAAGTACATATGTATTTGTAGAAAGCCAGATTTTCTTAATATACTTTAGGGGAAAAAATCATATAGTAATAGAATGAATTTAGAAACACATGAATATCCATAAATTTTCAGTTAAACCAAACATTAAGAGATTTTAAAAATGTAAACAAAAATACTGTCAGTAAACCTGTAAAAGTTATTAATAATTGTCTTCTTTGTGTAATGAGATATAAAGGAATCGGTTAATGTTTAAAAACATTTATGCTTTAGGTTCTATATGGTAAATATCAATAGTAAATATAATCCATACAAATAAAAATTGCTTAGGATATCAATATTTAAGACTATTAAGGCACCCCTCCCCAATTGAGAACTGCTGATCTAGGAAGATAGGAATTTAGAGAAATAGAATATATACATTTTAATTTAAATATACTGTAAATCTGCATGGTGGAGTCTTATTTTTAGACTTGTATGTACCTGTGAGTTTATTGTTAGAGCAAAAACATCTAAATATGAATATGAGTTAATGAAACATTTAGAATCTTGTGGGAAAATGAATTTTACATTGTTTATATTGGTAGGCTTTATTTTTTTAAGTTTTTGTTTTTTATTCCATAAAAAGTTAGCATAGCAATATCAACATGAAATTAAAAAACAAGAGCAAAACTCTTGGATGCTTTTGACTAAGAAATGAAATGCACCCTTTTTCATTTCTATTTTAGTTCTTGTCCAGATAAACCCTGTTTGCACACATGATGATTTCTCAGTGTGCATGTGTGGTGTGGGCCTCGTGTGTGCCAGGCAGGCACACTGCACTCATGCTGCAGCCCAGCGCCATGATCATTGTTTTTTTTTGCTACCGGGGGTCGAACTCAGGTCCTTGCACTTACGAGGCAAGCCACTGAACCGCTGAGCTATGATCATTCTTTAATGGGCATACTTAGGTGGTTCTGGGAAGGAGTAATTTGTGTGGTTAATTTATATGGTTATGTGGTAATGTTTGCTGTTGTTCAGCTAGGGAGATATTGGCCACCACTAAGGAGGGTAGTAAAACCAAGATAGAATCTAATATTCTGCAGTTACTCAAAAACAGAAAAAAGCGTTGTGTACACATTTTATTCTCTGAAACCTGTCCAAGAAACAGAAAACAAAGCTTTCAAGTGTATAAGAAAAGATTACTTACTAGAACTTTGTGGATATTAAGCCTGAATCACATATAGCAGCTAGGGTCATAGATGTAGGGTTCCAGCCAATCTGGAGACCGTCAGTATTGTGAAGGCATTTCTTTGAGCCTGAAAGGACACTTTGAAGCAGTTACTGATGATTTTATATCGATGTCCTGTATCAGCACTTGTTTCCCATGATGATGTGGAGGTTAAAAGCATCTTGGTAGCAATGACAGGAAATTTAAGTTGTGCCTGCATCCTCCTACTTTGAAATTTAAAAAGAAACTTTATGCTTTCTAGTAATTCATACCTTGCTACCACTTTCAGAGAAAGAATGCTGTACTTGTTGAGTAAATTAAAAGCATCCTAATGTTTTTTGTAAGAAAAATGTTCACTGACATAAGCATCTACATAATAAAGTGGATAATGCTTATCTGAAATAAACTTTTCTAAATGAATTATATGTTTTATACATATAATGTATTTATTTTTTGTTTTTATTCTGTATGTAACCTATATCTGAAACTTTGTGTCGCTGAATGTTAAAAATTTTTCAATTCAGTTTTCTTGAAGTTGTCCCTTGAAAGCTTCAATACATATATAGTTACTCTTTGCAAGCATTGCAATTTATATCTAATAATAACCTAGCAGTGTAGATAGTACAGGTACCCATATCAAATCCGCTTTACCTAGGAGGAATTTAGATTCAGCTTATGGAAGGTCTTTATTGTCATAGATAATTCCAGAAACAGGACAAGAATCTAGTGTATTTGATGTAGTCCCATGCATTTTCCCAGTATCGTATACTTCCCGTGTTGTGGTATATAACTATTTAAATTTCCATGTTTAATTTTAATAACTTCATACCTGCTGTTTCAGTTTTCTGAAAGGAGATATGTTCATTGTTCATAATGAGTTAGAAGATGGATGGATGTGGGTCACAAACCTCAGGACAGATGAACAAGGCCTTATTGTTGAAGACCTCGTAGAAGAGGTGGTAAGTTGTATTTTTTTTTTTTCCTACTGAATTTCTAATCTAGTTGTTCTTTTAAATTTGGAACTTGACCATAGCTATAAGTTTCTAAGGATTTTTTTTCATTAAAATGCTGTCTGTAAACACAGATAAGCTAGTATGTTATAGTATGTAGCTGTCAACTTTCTGAAAGTTTTCATGACTTTCTATGAAGTAAAAATGTCAACATTTGTGTTTCTTTTAGTCCTTTTTTGCCCTTTTAATCTTTCTAATAAATAAAATTAGTCTAAATAGTCATAGAATGTCAAATCGTTGTACATGTTTGATTTCAGATTCTTTGTTTTCCAAAAAAGCATACAATTTTCCAGTAACCTTGGAAAAATTCACTTGTATTACACAGATATTATCCCATGTTTCTACATTTTAGAAATCCCCCCTTTTTTTGCCATTGCATAACATATTTATAGTTAGCTTAGCACAAAAAAGAAATTGTCATGTATGTACATGTTTAAATAGCAGGTCCATGTAAGCAGTATTTCTACTTCAGAGGCCGTACTCAGTACCGCTGAAGTCAATTAAACATCACTATTTTGGATTTCACCCTTTTTCTAGTGGGATGCGATGCAATGGCTTTTTGTGATCTTTTATAAACATCAAAACTCTTGTTTTTAAAATTATATCATGCATCTGATGTATGCTAAAACCTGTGATGTCTCAGTATTCCTAGAATAGTATTCTTTATCCAACATTAGGAGAGGTATTCATTTCACATTAGGCAAGAAGTGCTCTGGCTGAAGCATCTTGCTGTGTTGCTTGTCCCACAGAATTTCTTGGTTAGAAGTTTTAGGGGCAGTTTCCCTCTGCCATCACCCTCCTCCCTATCCTGATGATTTAAAGGAATTAAAGTATAGTTGAACTTGAGCTCTTGGAACTCTGGATCATACTGAACAAGATGAGCTTTTATAAGGATAAATAAAAGTTACCTACCAGCTGCAGCAAAACAGTAAGTAATAGCCCAATCTAGGATAAGGGGATGTTATCTAACATAAATGCTGTACAAGGAATGAAGAAGAAAAGCCAACAGCTCAGTGAGAGTGGACAGTGTGATGTGGTTACTAAAAGTGAGTATAGTCATACTTTGAATTAATAGTGAAAGAAATCCAAATTAGGCCAGTGAGCAATTTTTATTCAGTATTTAGAATTTTTTTTTTTTTTGGTACCAGGGATTGAATTCCGGTCCTTGCGCTTGGCAAGGCAGGGCACCGAACCGCTGAGCTAAATCCCCAGCCCCTAGAATAATTTTTTACAGTGGGCTTCATTGGTAGTTTATCCCTTGTGAGTTGAAAACTACTTGGGTATCATCATAGTGGAGATGATGTTTCGGATATTTGTTTAGTAATTGGATTTCGGGTACATCCTCTCTAAAAATTGTAATTAATTACTCTTCTCCAGGCACATTTATTCCTTTCAGTTTTAACCTCATCATATGTGCTCAGAAGGAGATTTTGTTCTGGCACAGAATCGTATGTCCCCATTGCCAGGACTAGTGCCTGGCATTAGTTGGCACTCAGTAGATGCTTCTCCTCCTGCCCTGCAAGATGTCATATAAAATTCCATTTATCGTTATCAGCTCCATTCAGCTGTCACCCCTTTCACAGATTTTATGCCTTTTTAGATTTTCTTAGGCTAAATTATTTCCTCCTGCGTTTCCGTATCCTTTTGTTAGTTTTACATTTCGTTACACTGTGTACAGTTAATTTATTATATAACCTCTTCTCTAAGAGGCCAGTGATGGTGCTGTTGATTTGTACAGTTGTCTCTTGTCATGCTGCCTTGGATATAGTAGACATTTATCTAGTGTTTGATTTTAGTTGATTTAATGAATCAGGACCAAATTGAAAGAACTAACTCAATCTGTGAAGAGCTAACCTATTTTTCTGTTCTTTTCTTCGTTATTCACTGACATCCCAGTGCCATGTTCTGTACTAAGCACATCATGGTGGAAATTCAGTGAAAAGTGTAAACCCAGCCTTGTGTTGGAGTTTATGGTGGTAGTGGTGGTGGTAGTTGTGGTAATTAACAAAGAGTGGATCAGACTTGTGGAATGAATAACGTAAGTGTATCTTAAAAGACCAAAATAGAATACAAAGTAAGGTAAAATTCAAAAGATGATAAAATGAGGATCCTTTATATTCAAAGCAAAAGTTAATAGGCACTTTTAGAGGCTCAAAATGTCCCACTTGAGAGGTGTCATTGCGATTGATTCCTCTTACATGGTTTAGGTTTAGTCTTGTAGGTAGCAGTGAGTGGAAAGGACATCCCAGGAGCTGCAGTAAAACATAAGCTATGCTGTGAGTAGTGTAGACTGGCAGGCGTGTGGTAAGGTGTGGAGGCCTTGAGAATGGGGAGTGTGGGACGGTGAGGGTGTCCTCGAGTCCTGTGCTGAAGGACTTCCATTGCAGGGTGAGGACTCTGCAGACAGCAGAGAGGTATTAAAGGTTTAGCTTTTCAAATGTGATGACTAAGTTTGGTCTCTCTATAATGCAGGGCCCAGCTGTTGTTGAAACTGATAAACCCTGGTGAAGTGGCGGGGAGGGACACAGAAGTAATTACTGTAGCTGGGCTAATGGTGACGTCTAAAACTCGGGAGATGGCCTGACCTAGACTCGTGCCAGTGAAGTGGGAAGAGGAGGGTGGAGAGTGGTGGAGAGAATTCCTGAAGAGGAGCATCTGTTCTCTAACACACGAACGGGAAGGGCATTGGGCAGTTGTGTTTGAAGATACGAGTTTTATGAATTTTAATAAAACTAGGTCAAGAGTTAATTATATAAAAAACTGTCTTAATGTCTTCCCTTTAGGGCCGGGAAGAAGATCCACATGAAGGCAAAATGTGAGTTTGTGTTAAGTATTAAAAGGAAAAAAAAATATATTGTGAACTTACTAATTGGAAACTGGCCAAAATATATTTTAAAATATTTCTTGAAGTGGCTTACATATTTCTATTTGACTCAGAGAATTGATGTATAAATATTTTCTTAAGAACTTAGTGATAAATTCTTATTTTTAAATAAATGATGGCCTATACCTGTATTGCACTTATGTATCACCAAACTAAGACTTTCTGTTAAATATTAATGAATGTCACAGTTCCTCACATTTTTCTTTATTTTTGTATTTCTTTCTTTATTTCTTTATTTCTTACACTTGATCTTAGCCAAAAGGCCGAGAAGCGATTATTTCTTTATTTCTTAATCATGGTATTTCTTGTCTTTTTTGGCCATATCTTTTAGGAATTTTTTAAGACCAGGGTTTTTATTTCACTTTTGTTTTCATCAAAGAATTTTACTCTAGGATCATAGTTTTTTACAATTTTAGTAAAATTCATCAGGATATTTATTTTCATAATCCTTTAAGGCTGGTTTTATATGTATGAGGTTTCTGAAAAAAATCTTAACTATCAATCCCAATTCTATCTTATTTGGATTATTTTACTGACCGTGTATACTTTTCAAATAGAACACGTTTTCTTAACAATCCTGTTAGTGTTTTGGGGTGGAATTTAAGGCTTACCTCGAATGTTTTCTTTTTCTGTTTTCTATTCTTTAAACATGAAGATATTAAATGGAAATTTACATTTGGAGTCACCTATTTAGTTCTCTGCCCTTCCTTAAATAGAATGTGTATTTTCTGAGTTGGTTTTTCTTACTCTTGCATTTACCTGCAAGAGGTTCCATCAGGTCAGTGAGAGCAGACCTAGTTGGCTGCGTTAGTGCGAGGCACCCATCTCCTACTGTATCAGAATCCACAGCTTCTGAATAGTGCTTGAACTGTCAGAATGTAAGCTGATGAACTCGATTTGGTATAATACATGTTGATCTTTGTTATTTTCCCTCTGACAGATATCTGGGTATGTAGAGCTATTTCCCTCCTCTCTTAAATTGCCGTTTTAGGAGCGGTGAGAAGTAGTACCTGACACACCACTCCTGGTATTAGGGAGGGCTGTGGGAAGTAGAGAACTGGAAAGGTTTTTGCCTCCTTACAGTGACCCCCAGTCTAGTCACGTAGAATTCCAATTTACTATTATGAAGTCTTCCTGAATTTCAAGACAAATTAAAGTCTACATTTTAATCCTTAGTTCAAATAATACTATAGATTTATTTTCAGATTTTTAGGTCAGATACTAGTTTTCGCCGTGTGAAGTTTAAATCGCATGTTCATTGGGGAATCTTTCTTATTTAATGCTGTTGTCAGTCTCCCATTTTCCTAACTTTGTGATTTTTTACCCAGTTGGTGTTTTAGCATAAGCTAGATATGCATTGTTGGTTTGTTTTGGACAGAGACTGTGACAGTGACGCATCTTAAATTCTTAAAAGTACCCTCAGTCACATCACTGAGTTCCCTTTGTGAGGAAGCAGTTAGAACATTCGCATGATGGAGATACCAAGTTCTACGACTGTCTCCTAACTTACTTCTTGAATGCGTGTCTTCTCAGTGGAAAGCAACTGTGTTCCATTTCAGGCCCTTGCACCTAACATAGCAGTGACCTTCAGGTCGGGCTCCCTGAGTCTTTAATCTCAGATTCTCTCTTCCCGTAACCAGAATGCTACCTCTAAAATGTAGCTTACATGATATCACTTTCTCATTTAAAATCTTTGAGTCTCCGTCATCTTTATGTGGCTGAGCCTCAAAAGACCATATATAATTTGATTCGTGTCCTTTCCTAACCCTGGTATTTCTCATTTCCAGTTTTATACTCTGCAGTTTGTAGGTCTTTAGATACATAATACTGGTTTTCCCCTCTTTTATCTTTGTTTAAGATGCTTCCTAGGCCATGATTCCCTTCCATTTATTCACTTACCATTGTTTACTCAGGTGGGGGGTTAGCTCAGTGGTGCCACCACCTGCTTTGCAAGTGCAGGGTCCCAAGTTCGATCCTTGGTACAAAAACAAAACAAAACAAAAAAACACTTATCATTATTTCCTGAATGATAAATCATATATGTGATAAATATTCAGTTAATATTCTTCCTTCTTTTTTTCCCTGAACACCCTAAAGCAGTGGTGCTCTTGTCTGTTATTTCCAAAATACTCTTTCACATCCCCGTCACTCTGCTTTCCGTATTTTCTGTCTGCATTGGTTTCATACTTATACACGATTAGTCCCCACCCTGCCAAATAGAGCAGGGAATGCTTAAGGGTAAGGACTTACCTCCCCGCCACCCACAACTCCTCATCTTAACATTGAGGCAAGCCCTGTCTCTGGATTATATAAACTTTACATAATTATGAATAGCTTCAAAAAAATAACACTGATGTTTTAGCCAGAGACTAGCAAGAATCTTGGTAACTTCTAAACCACTTTAGAGAGGGAGGCGTTTTTGCCTTTGTGGCATATTTGAAAAAAATACGATTGGGCTTGCCAACTCTTACTCAAACTGTAGCAATTCTGCTCTAGCATTTGGAGTAGATCATTTAGCCGGTGTTTGCATGTAAGGGGGAAACTCACTGCCTGTTAAGGCAGCCTACACTGCTTCCATTGTATGTGTTACTTGTCCTTACTCATCATCTATACTAGAAGCACTAGGAATTCTGAGTAGTAAGTAAATGGTTGGAGTACTGTTAAAAAGAGAATTCAGGTGAAAAGGTAAAAATTTAGTTGTATTTTCATACTTTCACCAGAAAGAGCAATGGGTAGCAATGTATAGCAATGCGAACAACCTCTAAACTTGTAACCTCAGATTTTAGAGCACTTAGATAGTTTAATCTTACATACTTTCCAATTTGTGCCCTAACTGATTATTACAAATAATTGTAGACCCTAAGAAGATGTAGCAAAGTGGCGGAGAAGTAAACTGGGATAGTCAGCTTAGCTTTAAAATGTGGTCAGTAGCAGGATAGATAATATACCTTTGGGTAAACAGGAGATTTGAAGTACTTTAATAAGTCATAATTCATTTTTAAATGTCATTTTGTGTGAAAGTAAAGTTTAAATAGTTGAGTTTTCATAATTCCATGTGTCTTGAATGTTATTCATAATGTGTGTTATTCATAATTTGCAAAGGCTTAATTTTAGAATACAGAATATAAAATACATAAAGAATGCATCAACAGATTGATTTTATTAGAAGAGAGAGAGCTTATCACGTTACAAGAAATTCACCTTGTGAGAAATATGGGTTGTAGGTTGTGTTTTAGGGGTGCAGTTCTAGAGTGGGCTCTGCCTGTGCTCATCTCCTAAAAGAAGGAAGAGGGAGCAGTGAAGCATATAATATCACCAGGTTTAAAGTCAGCATTATTTTTATATTGGTTACATATGCAAATAGTAGTTTTTATTCAGTAGTCTCTAGTTTTCTGTATTTTGTTAAAAATAAACATAATATGTTCACAGAATGTAACTTAAATGTAACAGGAATAAAATACTTTGATCAGTTACATTTTATTTATTTCATGTATCATTTGAATATATTAGGTCAGTTGTTTAGTTTCCTGTGACAGCAGGATGAAGGACTTTTAATTTATATATATTATTTGTTCTCTTTAAGATGGTTCCATGGGAAGATTTCCAAACAAGAAGCTTATACTTTACTAATGACAGGTACTTTTTATTTTCACTTAACTTCTTAAAACGTCTTTACTTAGAAATAATAAAAACATAAGTCACCCATTTATCGTGTTCCACTTTTGCCTTGGCATCCAGTTAATGTTTATGCATATTATAATCTCCTGCCCAGTGGTGAGAATCTGGTGTTTTTAGTACAAGCATACATGCAGCACAAAACTCCAGAAAGTATGTTTTCCTCTACCCCATCCTCTGTTCCCACCCTTTCCCCTGATGTAATGCCTGAGGAGAGTTTCTGTTTCTAGTGTTTGATGTCTGTGTGTATCACTCTTTTCCCGTACATGTGCACATGTTCATAGGAACATACAACATACCTTTTTCATGTTAGGGTATATATTGGAAGATCATTTTATATGTGCAGGTATCAATATTCATTATTCTTCTAATGACCATAAGCTTTTAATTTATAAATACCATCATTGACAAGGTCCCAATTGGGTATTGGCTGTTGTCATTGTTTTGCCATTAAACTACAGGAAAACAGATGTTCTTATATTTATCTTATACATTCATGGAATCACATACTTGACCCTTGTTTAAAATGTATTAATTTAACATTTCTGAACACTCTTCAGTTTATAGGGAAATGAAGGGTAAAAACTGACTCGTATCATAGATTTATTATTCAAAGTGAAAATCATCCTATTGCTTATTCTAACTAACTAGTTAACACTGAATTAATACAGATTTAACCCACAGTGTGTTATTCAGAACTCTTAATTCTTCACAAGTTGTTGGATAGTTTATGGATTTGGTAAACTAGATTCTCATGATGAAAACCTTAATGATTATTAAAAATGTGATCTGAATTAACTGTTTTAAGCTGTCTGAATTTTCATTTTAGATTAATATTTTTTTTTCTTTATTGGGGTCAGTTTTTGAAGTGTTTAATTTATTATCCTGTGTTAGTAAGTTCAAAGTATCAACATGCTAGTCTATATGGTAGTAATACTGGCCAAATAGCGATATACCACAGCTTTCAAGGTGGGACCAGAAATACTCATTTTAGTGAATTTATAATACAAGTTTATATTTGGAACTTGTACTGCCAAGTACTTGATTTACCTATTTTTGTTTTAGGTGTGTAAACATGAAAAGGAGCTAAGCTTTAATTTCTTACATTAGTTTGTATTCATGTGTTCTTTGGGAATCAGGTGGGATTTTCGTACCTGAAAAGTACATATGGCAATTGCATATACAGTTTTGTATGTACTTTCTATCATATTCTAAAAGAAATACAGAGAGAGTATCCTGGATTCTTATCACCAAGATTTGACCCTTCCATTTTAGCCTATATTAAGTGACATAGTCATTTCACTAGTGTATGTAAACCGTGAATATTTAATTTAAAATTTTTTTTACTTTTTTGTACTGAACATGAAGCTACTTGATAGCAAGTGCTGTGGCCATATGATTGGAACCATTAATAAGTTATAAGAAATTACATCCAGTATTCAGTGTTTACCTCTCTACCCCCCACCAAATCAGCTCCTAATCTTTTCTATCTCATTAGGACTTATGCAAAAGAGAAAGCATTTCAGTATTAAGTCATTGCCAGTTAAAGATAACAGAAAGTCTTATCTAAAAGTAATACGAAAATACTTAATATATGTTAATTTTCTCTTACGTGTCTTTTTTCCAAGATTTTATGTCTTTTTTTTTTTTTTAGGTAATACTTGTTAAATAAAATATAGAATGTGTATTAATATAATACTGTTATGAAGTATTTCAGTTGTTTTGAATCTACCTTTGTAAACTTTTAGTACTGTTCTCTTTTATCAGTCATTGCTTTGTAGTTACTGATTTGAAATATTGATAAAATACGGATTGTATTCCTAGGCAAAATTTATTTAACTTTTTTTGGACTCTTTTGAGTGGATTTACAAACAGAATATAGCAGTTTTAGCTTCTGTCTCCTACCAGTGGTTAGGTTATTCTTTATGAGTTATGACTCATAGAGACATTATATACCAGAAGTTACTGCCACAAAACTTGTGTACTTTTATGGAATAAGGATGGTGAAGATATAACCCCGATAATGTAGATAAGCAATATGAGTGCTGTGAATCACAAGCAAAAGTAAAAGACAGGAAAGTCTTTTAAAAATGTTCCCAGTGAAAATTTATATGTTTATGACTCTGAGTATACTTTATATCATTTAACATCTTTGTTTTAATTTAATAATTTGGGAATAAAACTAACAACTTAATTTTTTACAGTTGGCCAGGTCTGCAGTTTTCTTGTGAGGCCTTCAGATAATACTCCTGGTGATTATTCACTTTATTTTCGGACCAATGAAAATATTCAGCGATTTAAAATATGCCCAACACCAAACAATCAGTTTATGATGGGAGGCCGATATTATAACAGGTAAATTATGAACAATTTCTGTTTACTCTTACTGGCAAAAATAAGCAAAATCTTGATACTGTATTAGGTCAAAAATTATATAGAAGCTCCTGAGTTTTAATATATAATTTAGTAATAAACATGTTCAAGAATTCTTGAGACAGTATCGGACATGAATACAAATTTTAACTTGCTTTCCAAAATAATTTTTGATTTTAAAAAATTATATATAAGCTATTTGTAACAAATTTGACAAATATATATTCAAGAGGAGTTAAAACATACAACTTAAAAGGAAAATATATTACATTCATTTATCAATGAGTGATTTTAAAAGGGATTAAAAAGTTTCCTCAGGTGTTACCTGAGATTTATACAAATGGTAGCTTGCAAGTGGGGTTTTCTCAGATTGCTGTTTCTCATAGTTGTAACTGGTTACTACTCTTCACCCGCAAAATGAGCTCTTGGCTTCTCCTAAAACCCACAATGAATTTTAGTTGCTTGATTAGGAAACTAAATTAATAGAGGAAACTATTTGAATGTCAGTATTTTCTCTGTAAAAGCAAAAAAGTAATCCTTTCTGGATGAAAAGGTTCCCTATACCTAATCACTACATACAGATCCCTCTTTTGTTTTAAAATATGGACATTTGGTGCCTGTGATCCCAGCACTTGAGAGGCTATGAGGCAGGTTTGCTGTGAGTTTGAAGCCAGCCCTGCCCTTGTACTGAATTAATGGCGAACCTACACTACATAATGAGACCATGTCTCAAAAAAAAAAAAAAAATCAAACAAAAATAAATATATAAAAAGAAAAACATCAACATTTGCCTTTTGCTCGCCTCATGTCTCAGTCCCACTGTAGATTCTCCATTCCGATTAGAATTCTTTCATTTCCAGTTTGGCCATGGAGTGAGTGTACATACAGATCAGGAGGGTAGTTCCTCTGGAAAACAAAACAGAATCCCAAGACCCTCTTGTTTGCTTGCCAGAAGTTCATTAGGCAGTTAAAAGCATCAAATGAAAGATACAAGTCTAGGCAGTTGGGTGCTTTTGCACATCTCCTAATACAAGGTTCTTGAATGAGAGTGTGCCTTATTGTCTGGATTCTAAATATCCTCAGTGAAATACAGCAAGCTGCAATTTGTGCTTCAAATAAATTAATATTTCTCCCTGATCAGTGTTCTAGAGATTTGGCAAGTAAAATTATAAATTAAAGACATGTTCTTAATTGAAGTAATGTGTTCAAATTAAGACTTTTATAAAAAAATAATTTACATAGATTTGTTTCAAAGTTTGTTTATTGACTTAAACTTCTTTAGGATACCTTTGTTTTACAAAGGTGGAAATTCTTAGTCTACTGAAGACAATCAGTAAAATACATCGTCTTTGTTCATCAATAAAAAAGTACTCGTAGTATTTCTTTTCAAATTATTGCAAAATTATTTTTTGAGGCGAAGGTCTAATTTCATAGCTGGAACTTCATGGGATGTCTAAGTGTTTGTGTTATGTCCATCATTACACATTTTTAATTTGCTCCTAGACCTTCTGAATCAGTTCACAAGTTTCCATGAGCTGTGTTCTTTCAGCTCATGGGAAATAATTATATCATAGCACTGAGATGCTGCACAAGATTTACTGCACTTTACAGCTTGTGAGCCACAAACCTTTGATGCTTATTGATTTTCATCAATTTGATGCTTTTAACTTTAAAACACAGAGTCCTCCTTTTGCTGGCATCTGCTCCTTTCAAATTATATTTCCTATTTTTATCTTTCAAATACTTTTGGATTTGTGTGTTACTGTATTTTTCTTTTAAAATTGATAACCTTATAATAATAATTTCCTTTTTATAATGCCTTTTTACTAGACATAATTTCACAATACCTCCTTGTGTTAAATACTGTAGCCTCTGATACTTAGTTTATATCCAGACTCATTTTTGTCATTTTTTTAACGGTTTTTTTCTTTTTAACATACTTGATTTAAAATAATTTTTTAGTATAGGTAAATATATGTGGAGCTGTAATACATACACATTTACATACTCCAGTTATTGTATCAATAGGAAGAACGAGTGGAAAAAAAAAAGTCAAGAGCTAGGTTAGACCAGATCCATTTGGAAAAGTGGTTCCTAGGTATTTGAAAATACTGTTCTTCCAGGATGTTACAGGAAGGTTTAAAATTCCAGAACTTAAATACGGTATTCAGGTCAATAAAGTGAGATGCTGATAATCAAGGAATACAATTCAGTGTATTAAACTCATTATAGCATGCTAAAATTGGTGAAGTACCATGTCATTTTTATTTTCAGTTTTGCTTTATTTGTGGCATTTCTCAGTATTTAGAAGAATTGATAGTACTTTCTATCAGAACCATCAGTAAGCCTTTCCTAATACAGTGATAATCATGTAGGTAAAATTAGCTCCTTGTTTTTTTCTTTTTGTCTTTTGGTTTTTTTGTTTTTTGTTTCTACCTGCTCCTGATGCCTGCTCATTTTCTGAAGTCCTCTATAGACTCTTGTATGAAGAGGAACAAAAAAAGTCCTAGGCATGTGAATCCCAGCACTGGGAAGCCGAGGCAGGAGGATCACTGTGCTTTCCAGGCCAGCCTGGGATACCTGAACTCTACATAGTTAAAAAACAAAAACAAAAGCAATAACTGAAAACGTGGACTTTTAATCAATCATTTTCTCATGTATGGTGACTGAGTGTGGTACTGTTGACTGGGCTGCCTACTTTATGTATATGACAAATCAGAATCTTATATTTGGGGATGTTATTTTTCTAAAATACATGACTGTTAAGATGATTATTCTTTTAACATATTCACATTATATGCTTGAAAAACAACCTGCAAATACATAATCCTTGGTAAAGGGATTTACTTGTAGTTTAAAAGATTTATATTTTTGTGAGATAAATTATGTCATTTTTATTTTATTTTAACAGTATTGGGGACATCATAGATCACTATCGAAAAGAACAGATTGTTGAAGGGTATTATCTTAAGGAACCTGTACCAATGCAGGTCAGTGTTGTTTCTTTTCTTTTCTTTTCTTTTTTTTTTTTGGCAATAACTAGAATTTTGTTTTAAAGTTTGTTATGTTTATAGACATTCATGTAATTAAAACTGAATTTTGGATAAAATTCAAAACTAGATCATTCAGATTTTCATGTGTTCAATTAACTTTGGTTTAAATTAGCAATTGTAAGAATTTCTGAGTTTTTTTGTCCATGTTGATTCTTTGATAATTAGGAAGTTGTTGGTGACTTTTTGAGACTAGAAGCAGTGGGGATAGAAGCCAACAAGCACTTACTAGGTCATGGGGTGGACTGTTTGGAGTTGGAAGTGGAGATGTATATATAAGTAACAACACCCAGGCTTACCTGGACGAATTTGTAGGTTAGAAAAAGAATGATTGAAAAGGCTTGGGACCAAGGGGCTTCTGAATTGTTTTCTTTCTGTGCCTCCAGTTTTATGGCAGGAGAACTGGAGCGTGTCTGCTTGCGCTGAGTGAGAGCAGCCATAGCAGTGGTGGATCGAGTATGGGTAGTGGCAGGACCTGAGGTACAGGTCCTAGAGAAGGCAGGAGTGAAGAAAATCCGAAACGACGGGAAAGACTGGCCTTGCACAAGAGAGCCTTTTACTACTGGTTGCTTAATGCATAGGGTGATTAGTCTGTTTCTCACTCATTGCACTGTCTGAAATGTGATGGCATAAGGGTGTTTCAGAGGTTAGGAAAAGGTTCTTCAGAGAAGCAATTAAGATTTTTCTATGTGGAAGTGGTGTTTACTCGCCAGGCACTTAGAAAAGGAGAAAGATTGTGAGTACCAAGTTTGTAATGCCTGGAGTTTTTCAACTTTTCCTCCCACTAACAAGCTATTTGGTTTCAGATTTGTTGTATCTGTGATTCGTTATTGCAGTTCCTGAGTGAGAAATGATTATTCTGAAGCTAAATATAAATTCAACAATCATAATTGTGTCACATGCATTTCCATGGTTTTCTGTGATGGTGGAATGCTTTTTCCCCATTGAATTGTTTTTCACCATGCTGCCAACAGTACTTGAAACACTACTGAGTAAATATCAGCTGAATGAATGCCTGTCTGCTCTCCAGCAGGAAGCACTCACCTGCCTGCATTGACACTAGATGTTTTATGTTTCTGTGTGCCTCTTTCTCTGTCCATGTCAGGTTCTCCTTAAACACTGCTAACTGAAAATCAGTGTGAGGTTTCACCTCCTCCTTCTGTGGTACTGGGGTTGAAATCGTTTCCCACCAGGCAAGCTGTCTACCACAGAGCTACTTCTCCAGCCCTTTTAAAATTTTACTTTGAGGGCTGGGGTATTAGCTCAGTGGTTCTGCCACCTGCCTTGCAAGCACAAGGATCCGAGTTGGATCCCTGGTACCAAAAAATAAATAAATAAATAAATAAAACTTTACTTTGAAGTAGGTTCTCACTGAGATGCCCTTGCTGGCCTCACTTTTGCGATCCTCCTTTTTATCCTTAGTAGCTGGGATTGCATGTGTGTGGCACTGCATCCGGCTTTTCCCTCCTTGATGACTTCCTAATATCTGTGGTGAACATGTGTACTGTTTTGGCAGCGGTTCTGGAAGACTGCTGCTGCTCACTGTTCGAATCACTACACGTGTAGACACGACTTTGTTAAAAAACAACAGATCACGGTACTGGGCTTTCTAGAAAGGAGCAGTATTTTAGTAGGGGTCAGAAGGACCTTTATCTGCCAGGAGTTTCTCCTCCTGGCAGGCGATCCTGCCAGCAGTTCCACTGTTATATCCTTAATTCTCATCCACATTGACTGATTAAATTAGTGACATTTTGATTGTTTTGTAAATCCATGTTTTATATGTCCACAAATTAAATAATTGTTTTCATCCTGAATTTATTCTTATAATTTTTGGATATAGGTTTTTGTAGTTAGTGAAGTCAATAACACATGACATTTGAAAAACTTTTAATGCATTAAGTTACTAAGTTGCTTTAAGAATTACTTGATACATGCTGGGCGTGGTGGTGCACACCTATAATCCCAGCACTGGGGAGGCTGAGGCAGGAAGATCACTCTGAGTTGGAGACCAGCCTGGACTACATGGTGAATTCCAGGTCAGTCTCAACTAGACAGTGAGACCCTATCTCAAAAAAATAATAAAAAAAAAGAATTACTTGATACATTGCCACGTGTGGTGGCTCAGACTTGTAGTCCAGCTACCTTGGGTGGCTGAGGTAAACAGATCACTTGAGCCCATCAGTTCAAGACTGAGCTAGACAGCTTAGTGACCTCCTATCTCAAAAAAACAAAACAGCAACAAAAAACTTCACATATTCACAGTGCCTCACTCCTTCGTTATTGTTTCATAACTGAACAAACCTCACGCTGTCCTTTGGAAACTGCCTAGGAAGTGCCTCAAAAATAACTAGTGCTTATTAGGAACCAACTTGATTGTAACAGAAGAGCTATTAAGTGTTATTTGTGGCCTATTTTGTTGGTCCTAGAGTGAATGTAAATTGCAGCAGAAGTTTGGGAAATCCAAACCCTAACCTGTCCTTTTAGCATTTTATTAATGAACAAATAATAAACTGGTGAAACTGGCACACCCACCCTGATGTGGCCCAGCATACCCAGACTCCTGGAACAGGAAACCAGAACCCTGGAACAGTCACTTCTTGAGACAGGAACTAGAGAAAACGAAGGAGCCTTTTGAGACAACACACTCCAATAAATATACCAACCATTTTGAGTACTCTTAGGCTCTGCTTTTTGTACGTATGATTCATTTAGTTTTTCAACAGTTTAATGAGGTTGACACTGTCATGACTATTTTACAAATTGAGAAACTTTGGCCAGAGAGGTTAAGGCATTAGTGGTCTTTGACTTTGTCTTTTCCTTGTTTTCTCTCCCCTCCCTCCCTCCCTCTCTCCCTGTCTCCCTTTCTCCCTCTCCCCTTCCCTCCTCCCCTTCTCCCCCGTCAACCTCTTAGCAGTTCCTGCCAACTCTGGCTTGAGAATATAACTACCACCTAAAGCTGACTGCATCTCACTGTGTCTCATCTTCATCTTCTTAACAGCATACAGTAGTCAAAGGGATCCGTTTAAAATTTGAGTTGGATGTTGTACATTTCATTTGAAGTTGAGGTCAAAATCCTTAAAAAGGCATACAAGACCATATAGCAGCATATATAATTACTCTATAAGCTTTTCTCTAATATCCTTATCTATATTCTTGACATGTGTGAAGGAAACCTGAGAATTTTGGAAGCAAATGCTGTCTTATTTATCTGTTAACATACATCTTTATTTTTGTATTAACACTTTCTCTGATTTTTACTTGGTAATTTGGTATATTTTTGCTTCAGTTTTCTCCAACATTCATGAAATTTTATATTTTAAAAAATTTAGGATCAAGAACAAGTACTCAATGAAACAGTGGATGGCAAGGAAATCTATAATACAATTCGTCGTAAAACAAAGGATGCTTTTTATAAAAATATTGTTAAGAAAGGTTATCTTCTGAAAAAGGGTAAGTGAAATTTTAAGGTTAAGGACATAATTCTTTTACTGTTACCAGTTTTATAGAAGCATTGTAAATTTCAAGAGTAAAACTTACTGTGATATTTAGTAAGTTGTTTTGACACAAGTTGCTGGTTTTCATTTGTTTACAGTTTCTGTCTAAGCCTCTTTCAAAATTTAGAGTTCTTACATTAAGTCCGCATTTTAATTCAGGGCTTTAGAAAACAAGTTTATATATTTCCAAGTACCCTCAGGACAAGAAAAGGCATTTGCTTTTTTGCCTCCTCTACCCATGCTTTTCTTAAAAGAAACTCTGTGGTATCTGGCCTGATGGTATCGATACCTGATTGTATTGATGCTTTTATTCAACGTACTTACCTCAGTCTGACATTAAGCCATATTGAAGGAATGGCGGAAGACCCTAAGAGTGTTGTGGAAGAAATTTTTCCTTTAAACCTGGAAAAGAACTATTCCAAAATAAGAATTTTGAAAATTTAACCATCATAGAATATCTGCAGATTATATTCGCATTTGTTCTGTGATTCATTAAAACAAGCAGTATTAAAACAGGGACTTTTTCTGTAGACATTATTGGCATTTTCCTACTGTTTAAAGATTAAATTTTATAGCTGTGGATTTAGCTCAGTGGTTCCGCCTCCTGCCTCGAAAGCTCAAGGACCAGAGTTCTATCCTCCGTACCAGAAAAAAAAAAAGAAAAACAAAACAAAAATTAAGTTTTATAATAAAAGTTGAGATATGTCTAATTTTTATTTTTAGCAATAACTTTTTTCATTCTAATATATTTGATTTCACAGTTCGTTATATATTTGATTTCATAGTTCATTGTTTGGCTAAAGGAAAATTTTATTTTTTCACAGGCAAAGGAAAACGTTGGAAGAATTTGTATTTTATCTTAGAGGGCAGTGATGCCCAACTTATTTATTTTGAAAGTGAAAAACGGGCTACAAAACCAAAAGGATTAATAGATCTCAGTGTATGTTCTGTCTATGTTGTTCATGATAGTCTCTTTGGAAGGTAAGAAATTGGTTTTCTGTTTTTCTTTTGGAATGGTTTTATTTATTTTTAAAATTATTTATTTATTTGTTTGTTTGTTTATTTATTATTTGGGTTTTTGAGACAGGGTCTCACTATGTAGTTCAGATTGCTCTGGAACTCACTGTGTAGCCCAGGCTGGTCTCGAATTTGAAGCAGTCCTCCTGCCTTCAGTCTCCTGAGTGCTGGATTACAGGCGTGCGCCACCACTCTTGACTTGGAATGGTTTTAATAATAAAATAGAAGTTGTGTTCACATTATTTCAGAACATAACAAGACCAATTTTTATAGCATAAAATCATGTAGCAGTAGGAAAATTTTTGTTTTTCTTGGTTTAGGCATGTATGAAATTCCACTCTACTACAATAGATAGAAATCTTTGGAATGGTATTTCTTATAGCAGAACTTTATCTTGGTCTATATATAGCATGTGTTCTCTTTGCCACCACTAATAATACTTCGAATGACTTAATTAAAATTATGTAAGATTTTTTTTCCCCTTTCTTAACAATACAGGTGGCTAACATGGAGCATGATGGCACACCAATTATGGTTTTGTAATAAACATGGGCTTGGGGCACCATCTAGTGCTGAAATAGTGGCGGTGACCACAAGGTTAGAGAATTTAAACAGCCTGCCTGGAATTTCTGGAAGGAAAGGCATGAACAAACCCAGATTATGAAGACAGGAATGAATATGTATTCTTTCAGTGTGGAGATATTGTCATATGTCAGCAGCATTAGGAACTTTCTGGAAACCATGATCTGATCTAATGGAAAAAATATGGTACTGGAAATAATCACATAGGAACTGTTACATGTGAACTCTTTGGCATAGAATTCAAAATAGCTGTTTTATGGAAACTCAGTAAGCTTTAGGAAAACACAGAAGAAATGTTAATGATTTATCAGAGATTTATTTTCCAGAAGAAAAAAGCTAAGAGAATTTATTCCCACCAGACTTGCCCTCCATGAAATATAAAAGGTAGTTTTTCAAGCTGGAAAGAAATGCTGAGTAAGAAGAAACTACCAGAACTTATATAACTCTGAGAAATTTAGAATGTTCTAGTATTGTAAATCATTTATATCTTTAGTATGAAGACTGATAAGACAAAAATAACTGCGGTAATTCAGAGAAAGGCAGTATAAAAATTGTATGAAATAAAAATTTTTAAAAAGGTGGGAGGAATGAAGTGTAAATGTAGAGTCTATTTTTTACTATATGTTTTCCTAACTTTACAAAGTTAGCTTAAGAAGAAAAGATGTTTTTTGTAACTTTCATGGTGATCTTTAAAGTAAAGTCCTATAGCAGATACATGGAAATAGTAAGCAGTGAATGAAGACATGAATAAATCGTTTAAGTACAAAGGAAGACTGAGAAGGAGAGAGAAAGGGACCAGGCTCTTACAACATTATTAATGTAATGTAAATTAGTACAACTATTGTAGAAATTCCTGCAAAAGATAAAAATATAACTACTATGTGATTGAACAATCCTACTACTAGGTATATAGCCATGGGAAGTGAAGTCAGTCTGTTGAAGAGACATCTACATACCATACTTATTGTAGCTGTATTCACAATAATCAGGGAATAAAAACAACGAAAGATCCTATCAACTGATGTATGGATCAAGACAAAATGTGATATACACACAATGGGATAATATTCAACCAGCATAAGGATTAGATCTTGGCATTTGTGACAAGAACTAGAGAGCTTTTTGTTCAGTGAAGGATGCTAGGCGCACAGCATGTATTACTCATGTGGCATCTAAAAACATTCCTTCATAGAAGTTGAGAGTAGCATGGTGACTATCAGAGGAGAGTAGTGGGCAGGGATAGATAAGAAAGGCTCCTCTAAGGTATGGAGTAAAGTTAGGTCCGTGTAACAAGTTCTGTTCTACTGCAACAATGATAAGGTACTGGAAATTTTCAAAGAGCTCGCGGAAAGGATTTTGAATGTATTTTTTTTAACCACAAAAGAAAAAAGAAATGATGCATATTTAAGGCAGATGTGGTTGCTTAGATTTTGATTTTTTTTTTTTTTTTTTTTTTTTTTTTTGGGGTTCGTCCATACTGGGGATCGTACTCGGGACCTTGTGGTTGTTAGGCAGGCAGTGGAACCACTGAGCTAAAAATCCCTGGCCCCTGGTTGCTCTGATTTTAACAAATTGCACAGTGAACATAATATATTTTGATACATCATATTGTATTCCATAAATATGTTTAATTTTTGTGTCAGAAAAATAACGTAGGAACTTGGCTTTCAGATATGGTTGAATCAAGCCTCTGGCTTATTTTCTCTTTAGTTTTGCTCTACCTTGCTTCCTGTGTACTGGATTCTTCTTCAGATGAGTTTCTGTGATCTTAAGACACAGATAGCACTAGAGCTAGAGTGTAAGCTTTCCTGTCATTAATGAAAACCCTGAGCGTGGGATATTAAAGCCCCTCTTCACCATTTTAGGCAGCAGCGGAATGGGATTGTTCTGATGGAGTGAGGCCACTCAGTGCATAAGAAATAATGAGACTGCTGTACTCGGTTTGTGTGTGTGGGTGAAGTAGATACTGGGGAGCCTCCAACACGGTTCACTAGCAAATATAATTTATTGGTACCAAAAACATTTTAAAATAGGCCAAAGATGAATGAGATTTGGGAGGTAGCTTTATTGGAAGGTGGACCCAGTCCCTCAGTACTCGAAGGCACTCAGTCTAGGCAACTCCTACCCCAAGTATCCAAATGCACAGATATGCAAGTCCTAAAGTGAAATGCAGTTGTGTGTCTGGGGGCTGTCGCTCAGTACTTGAGTGCTTGTCCAGCATATCCAGGCCCAACTTTGATCCCCAGCACTGGGTGGAAAGGAAAGGTGTAGTATTTGCATATAACCCCATGAGTCATCACTAGGTTACTTAGGGTTCCTAATACAACATCAGTGCTGTGTGTTTGTTCAATACAGATGCATTAAAAATAATTTTGGATATGCATTTCCTTGGATCTGTGAGTGTGAAACTCATGGATATGGAGGATCAAAGTACTATGAAATAGGCAGTTCTTGGGCAGAACCCAAGAGGATGGCTGTGAATTCATTTGGTTAGCTAAGCGGAGCTTCTCAGCCAGGGTGCTGTGGGATTATCGTTAGAAGTCTGTGATATACAGCTAATTGTCAAGTGTTATGATAAAAACTAAACCAGACTTTCCTCATTTTAAACACTGTAATAGTTGAAATTCATGGCTTCCTGTCTAAGCTGTTCTAATTTGTTATTTTATTGAGGCAAAAAGATCTTCACATAACTTGCAGACAGTAGTAAGCTCTTTATGGTAGCTATACTTCAGTACTTATTTTTAAATTACCCATTAACTCACTATTAATCTAGACTTTTTTGGTCAGTCAACAATGTTATTTTTTGTACTGATTCATAAACTTTAATTTTTATACTATCCCCTATTAACACAAGTTAAAATTATTTTATTATAAAATGTGAATTCTTGAACTTAAATTTTTTTTCACTTTATAATTGGTTTTAATGTACAAATATATATGAAACCAGCATAAAGGGCAATTTGGTGGTTAATGCTGTAAAGCCATTATAGTCACAAGATAAAAATAGTACTCTTAATTTTAAAAATTAACCCATATATTAGGCTGCTAAATTAAAAACATGTATTAAACTTAAATTGCTAAGCCCAGTAAATATTGTCTTCTTCATCCTAAAGAATTTCTTTGCATAAAAGTCACGGAATAAGTCAGTGGTGCTGAATATTTTATGCTAGCACCATACCACTAAATATCTACAATTAATGAAAAAAAATTGAATTGTAAACTCCAAATGAGAAACAGTTTCTTCTCTCCCACCCCTTCCTTCCTCTCTTCTTGTAGATATGTTCCTACAGTGTCATGTTAAACTTGGAAAGCTTGTTTTGAGATCATGCAATTAATAGTTAAAGCTGAAGCAGAAATGCTTCACACAGAGTTGGAGAATTACTTGTTTTACCAGTCTGCATGGAACTGCCAATTCTGTTTAAGGCCAAGAATAAAAGTAAGAAAAGAGATACCACTTTGAAATAGTAGTAGATAATACTAAGGTAGGGTTATCATTAAATGCGTTTGTGTGTCAAATGATAGGTTTTTAAATATCCAAAGACGTATCACTGCAGAATGAAACACGGTACCTTATATGATATACGTACATATACTGTGTGTAATGATTACAGTAATGCTTGAAAGAAAATCTCTGGCATTCAGAGAAGTTCCAAAAGTATTAAGGAGAGAGTATTCCAAACAGTAAATGGGAACACTGAAACAAAGCTCTGTAGAAATGTCCTTTGATCTAATGACTGCTGGTGAGGCTTCGGGATAGGAATGTGTAAAACTTTCCATCAAGAATTCCTTCTGGAAAACAAGCAGTTTGGAATAGTATTATGTATATGTTTGTGTGTAGAGTTGAATTCCACCTTAAAGTATGTTAAGATGGAAGCTCTAATAAAATCCAAGCTGCTCAGCTGCATGTGTTTTTAGATTTCATGTAAAGAAACACAGAGTACCTGCTGTTTGAAATTGAAGTACACTAGCTGTCCAAAAGAAGAGTTGTCTTAAAAGTTTGATTTGCAGGAAAACCCTTCTTTATCGTATATGATTCTCACTTTGTAGATTAATTGAAGAGTGAACTTCCTCAAGAAATTACAAGTGCAGCACAAAAAGATAATTTGGGCGGGGGTAGTGGGGCTCGAACTCAGGTCCTTGTCCTTGTGAGGTAGGGAGGAACCATTGAGCTAAATTGCCTGCAAGATAATGTATTTTGGATTCTAATAAGATTACTGACATTTAGAAAAGGGAAGAAAGGAGCTAAAGGTGTAGGGAAGGTGGGATGGGTAGGGGAAGAGTAAAAAGGGAAAAGAAAAAAATGTGAGAGAATGAAAAGATGAAAATAAAGTGTTTGTAGATGGGGAGGGGAGGAGGGGGTGAAGGGAGGGCAGAGGTAAGGG